TTCAAATCTACCAAATTGCTGAATTCCGACACTATGTGACAGTGTGACTAAATGCGGCATATTGAGAGTAATTCTGACAACGCTTTAAATTCGTAATTCCGACACCCTGTGTTGGAACTAGTTTTCATGTGTCTAAAACCATCTCTTAAATCAATCATCTTTTAATTTATTGACCACTTAGAATCAGCAAATACAAGTATACTCAAAGGATTCCTAATATATTCACAGACTTATTTAAAAGTCTCAAATCATAATATTCTTTCTACACAAACAGTTTATCACTATTTAGTAAGGCAAGGTCAATTAGACACTTTCATACATGTTTCAATGTTTCCACTAGCTGACTTGGACTTTCGCTCTGCTGATCTTAACATTTTCCGCTAGACCTAGTGTTTTGCAGAAATCTTGCGTGCAATGGCATGATGTCACTATTTCAACCATCTACGCATGGGTGGAACTAAGACCAAGCTTAATATAACATGTATAAAAAAATTTTTTAAAGACCACGTTCTTCATGTGTACTAAAAAGTAGAAAATAATTTTTCGGCAGCTACTGATCTCTGTTTGCTTTCATTCTCTTGGTCTTTTATATTTCAGTTAAAATATTTTACAACATCTAAATTCTAAAATGAAAAACGTGGGGCGCATCTTCATTTAGGCATGCCTTAATTTCAATTTTGAATTCAACCACTATTTCGAATTACTCTATCACTATTCATTACTCCATATACCTTTGCTTTGATAGTGAGCTATTTAATGGTGAAATATTTAGATACTTAATGCATTTTCTTTTCAAATGTCTTAATATGGCTCTTAAATTGATTACATATAGTCCTCGCGTTCATTTAAAATTCTCCAAATTTGATTCTTTTAAAATTTTCACATACCCTGACCATTCATGATTCATATCTTTACTTGCTTGAATTACTTATACACATTTCAAACTACCTATATTGGATGAAACATGATAAATCAATATACCAACAGTAAATAACAAAATTTGCTCAGATCAGATATATCAGCAATACACTTATCAAATATTCAATGAACCATCATATTCATTATATCAAGTAATCACCAAACAATTAAATACATATGCGCCCCACGTTTTCCATTTTAGATGTAAAATATTTTAACTGAAATACAAAAGACCAAGAGAATGAAAGCAAACAGAGATCAGTAGCTGCCGAAAAATTATTTTCTACTTTTTAGTCCACATGAAAAACATGGTCTTTAAAATTTTTTTATACATGTTATTTTCTGCTTTTTAGTTTTATGTTAGTTTGTATGCTTGTGCTGATCAAATCTTGCAATCAAAATTTAAATTTCCATTTTATAAAGAATAAGAATGACTAAAGTAGAGTGTCACTGTGCTAGACATGAAAAACGTTGTTGCGAGCCAATTTACTTGACTTGACGTACGTATCGATGATACGCAGCGTATCATCAATATACGCAGTCTAAACATGAATATCCTCTCGAGGATGACGTGCATTAAAGGTTCCCAAACCCCTTCTTGTGAGTTCCTTTAGAGTTTATACGCCTGGAAATGTGCAACAAATTATTGATTATTGTATTGTTATCGGGAGCTGAGCTTCCCTAAAAGTTTCAGAGCGCTAGCTAGCGGGAAAGTTGGTGAAATATCGATTGCAAGATTTGATCATCACAGACAGACAGAGGGACACGAAAGCAAGCTAAGAAAAACGTGGTAATAAAGGAAAAAATTGAGGGGTGTCAGAATTACCCACAGTGCCGCAATATGGTACGTTTACCCTAAAGCCAAATGTTAGTTATGCTGTTACTGTTTTATGGTAAAAGTAGAGATTTGGGGAACATGTGCACAGACTTTGTAAATACATTCGCGGCTCATTAATGGCTTTTCATGGCCAAGATAGTGAATTCATGGCTTGAAGAAATGGAATCATGGCTCAAAGAAATGTAATCACAGTTGGCAAAGCCATAAAACCAGGGCTTGAAAAATTCAGTTGCGGCTTGCCAAGTTGATATATTCCATGCCTGGCATAAAGGAAGTTAAGAAATCATAGATTTACTAGCTCTAAAAAAATCCCTGAAGTAAATGGAAAAAAAAGATATTTTGAAAAGTACACCTATCAATTTTTCCTTGAAACAAGTTGCAGACAGGTGTCTGCTTTAAAACTTTATTTACGGAATTTTTGTACATCAATCTAAAACAAAACAGCTGCCATATCCACATGACGTGGTTTTTAAGGGACACCACCATGCCTGGTGGAATTCTAGGAAATTATTGGCAATCCACCAGGATGGCCAGAGCGCTCCAATACATGTGGGCTGGCAGCAGCAGCTGCATGCCTGTATTGGAGCCAGCGCACTCCTATTTTTGGCCACTGCTCTCATTTACATAGGCACATGGTCATTTAGAATGCCATCATGGTCACTTGCACAACACCCCCGGGGTAATACGAGAATACCTTGAAAATCCATTTACGCTAGAACCTGGTTAGCAATGGCTCTAATTGACAAAAATCAATTAACAATAAAAAATTTTTAATAACTATCTTATGCAGCAAAAATTCACTTAATGAAAAATTAATGCATCATTGGTAATAAAAAAATTGCGCATCGAATGTCATAGGTAAAATTGTGCATCGGGCAGCATAGAATGAAAATTAATTAACCTGAAATATGATTTATTTCTCCAAAAAATATAATGGTTGCCACTAAAATATTCCTTTCTTTTTCAAGTATGTCATTTACACTTCTTTTTTATAGTGAATTCACTTGACCCAATTAAAATGGTGCAAAATTTCAATCCTAGTCTTGTAAGCTTACAGATAGAATGGAAATGCTATATGGCTGGTATGATAATCTTATATCAATAAAGGAAAAACAAGTACAAACATAGAAAATGTCATTTATTCTACATCTACATCATCTACAACGGAAAAGGAGGACTTCAGAGTACTGTTAGTAATAGATGAGTAAAATCTGCATGCTTTTAATGTTTTAAAATTGAGTTTTATTCCAAGTGTTGCAAATCAGGACATTTTTCTGTTGTGTCTGGCACCTTACAAATAGCACATGGATTTAATTTGGAGATGATACAATAGCCTTTTCAAAGGTCTTTAAAATGAGCCAAAACTTGTTTATGAAATGTTTCATGATGAAAAGTTGTCAATAAAAAAGGTTAAAATTGTCTCTTATTACCCTGTTTGATGGAAATGTAATGTGCTGAAGTATAATCTGTTTTGGTTAATGTTAGCACATGAGCAGCAACATTGTAGCAGACTTTATTTGTGCAGTGCTTAATGAATGGTGCCTGTCATTATGAGGCATTGTGCTCTGATTATATACCACCATGTATCCTTGGTAATGATATATTCTGTCAAATGGGACAATAAGGGAAGGTTTCAAGCATTTTTTAATAACTTCTCACCAGGAAACGTTTCATAAACAGGTTTGGGCTCATTTTATAGCTCTTTGCGAGGGCTATTGTATGGCATATTAAAAAAATTCCATATGCTATAATTTGTAGGGTGTCAGATACAAAATAAAAGCAGCCCAAATTACCCCTGGGAACAGAGTAATTTGGGACACTTGAAATAAAACTTGATTTTAAAACATTTGAAGCATGCAGAGTGTAATCATCTATTACTAACAGTGCTCTGAAGTCTTCCTCTTCCTTTGTAGATGTAGAATAAATGACATTTTCTATGATTTTTACTTGCTTTTCCTTTATTGATATGATATTGCCATATCCATACATTACCATATTATTCATGTGATATTACCATATTTATGAACATGCTATTGACCATTTGCAACAACCTTGTCCACTGCAAGCTTCATATCAGCAGCTGTATAGCACTTTTCTGTATCTGTAAGCTTACTGGATGGCTTGTAATTTCACACCATTTTAATTGGGTCAAGCAAATTCTCTATAACAAAAAAGATCGTAAAACATACCTGAAACAGAAAGGAATATTCTAGGGACAACTATCATGTTTTTTGGAGAAATTAATCATTGTTTAGGTTAATTACTTTTTCATTTTATGTAATTTATGCTGCCCGGTGCACAATTATCCAGGACATTCTCTGCACAATTTTGTGATAACCAATGATGCATTAATTTTTTGTCAAGTGGAATTTTTTTACTGAGCAAGATATATATAGACATAATCAAAATATTTTGTTGTTAATTGATTTTTTTTGTTAACTGGAGCCTTTGCTAATCAAGGTCCTACTGTAAATGTGTTTTTAGGGGTGTCCCTAATTACCCCGGGAGGTGTCCCTTATTACCCCGTCTTGAGGAAATAGTCACCATTTTTTTTTTAAATGAGATATGCAAATTTGGTCAATCACGTTTTTGAGCCAACACCTGTGTGCAACTTTTATGCAAGTAAGATTTTTTGATATGGTGAAAAAATTTTTTGCTACAGACCTTAGCAGAGGTACGTTTTTAAAATCTCACTTCTCACACTTTTTTCACTGATTTTTTAGAGGCTGTAAATTAATGATTTTTTAACTTGCTTTATGATATAAAGATAGTAAAAATGTTTAACTTTATGCCACTATTTCAAATTTTGCAATACCTTGATTAGTTTAGCTGCTACAACATTTCTATGAAATTGGGGACAACTGTCCCGATTTACCCTGCCCGTCCCTTATTACCCCGTTTGACAGTAGTCAATGTTTTACTCAAATTGGACATTTTGGTCTTAAATAATCTACCTCAATCATCAAGTTTTCAATGAAATTATCACCACGGCCTGTAGTGAGGATGTAGTTAGTTAGATTCATTCAGATTATTCGTTTGAGCCAGTTTAGAGTAGCTTGTGAGAAATTAGTTATTTAGTGGATTTCAAAGTGTCAAATTATTTTTTATATCCTTTTGTAAAAGAAAAAAGTTTTATGTACCTAATTTAGATTAAATTTTGATGAAGCCTAATAAAAATGAGCCATGTAAATTTGAAGATCTGCTATAATTTTGAATCATTTGCCTTACACATGCTTTTATACATCTAGAGCAACGCCAGTTTGACCTGGAACGTGATGTTGCACACTGGAAGCAGCAGTATGAAGAGGAGCATGAAGCCCGTGTCAAATTTGAGCAGAAAGCTGAAGATGCCCTCGAGAAAGTTACCATGCTGGAGCAGCAGCTACAACAACTCAACACCAAAAATGAGACTCTGTTATGTGAATTGAAAATGTAAGTATCTTGATCTTACCAATTTTTAGATGCTTTTTATTCTTTATTGTTAAACCATTTGAGATTATATACGTACATGTACTGGATTTGCAAGTTGTGAATAATTCAGAATTGTAGCTAGTGGTTTTAAGTCAGTCTTGATTTGCCATTTTCATGTCATGCTTAAATTTTTCTGCAGCACAAGAAGTGAGACTGATTCCCTTACCAGTTCTTGCAATGCTCTCTCTGGCACCATTGAGACCAAAAACGGGCTCATTTTAGATCTGAAGAACCAGGTATGTCTCTTAGAAATTTATTATTTACTAATGCTCTATTTTTCAACCATTACCTACCTCTATCCAACCTGTTAAAAATAAATGAATACCGACTGGTTAGTGTATTAAACTTATTTAGTTGTTGGTTGTTATCTCAAATGAATAGTGGTCATTAATAGTCACCTTTCTAATAGTCACCTTTTATTAATAGTCATTGGTTCATGGTTTGCTAGGCCTCAGTTCTATACACTCTTAATTGTTACATGTTAATCTTAATTTTTACATGCCAAACTAGTTTGCACATTATAATTTAGATAAGTTGGGAAGGAAAATTAAGCATCAAGCTGCAACATGAAAATAAAATCTCTTGTGTAATGATAAATGAATAAATTGAGAAAAGCATTGATATATGACAGGTTTGTTGTAGTTATGCTGTTGTTTGAACAGATCACTAGCTTGGAGCAGCAGGTCTCTGGGGCCATGAGAGCAAAGGCTGAGGCGCAAATACAGTCGGAAGAAGCAGCCAACCTGCAGAGACAACTTGAAAACAAGTAAGTTCTTGAAATAATTTTATCAGTATAAATTACCTAGCTATGAAAATTTATCAGTTATGGGTTCATTAATTGATATTTTTTGCAGTCAATTCTTCTAACTTGCATGTTGTTTTGTCCTGTTTAAATGAAGGGCTTCACTCATGTTGCTGATTTTTTATTGCAGTAATTTGTTATATTATTATATTTTATATCATATATGTCTTATCATTATTATGCTATTTGACAACCTTTATAATTTAATCCTTGGTCCTTGGAGGGTTAAAAATAGTTTGTATAATAATTATGCACCATGTTCATGAAGGGAAAGGCTGCTGTCTCAGGAGCGTAGCATGCTGCGCGGCCAAGTTGAGTTGCTGCAGCAGCAGCTGGAGAAGCGGGTGCAGGAGGCTATGTTACTTCGCAATGAACATTCCAGCAAACTGGTGCAGCTGCAGCAAGATCTTCACATCGCCACTACAGAGGTATGCTAACCACATTTTCATGTTAATTTTAACAATATTTTGGGTTGTAATCTATACAGAATATCGAAATTCATTTTTGTGAATGTTTTATGAGTTAATCAATCAACATACATGTCCATGTTTGGGCTGACAAGTTTTTTTTCCCTTTTCCCCGAAGTAAATTTCTGGCTAAATTAGGGCTACATGCCAGAGAAGTTTGACTGATTTTGCCTATTTATTTTTCATAATTCAGCATTAATTAGTAGTTATCATTGTGGTGCAAAAATTTATCGTATTTCTTGATAAAAGTTACAACTAGATGAAAGTTGCTGTTGACCATTACATATTATTTGTGTATGTGATTTTTTACTTGTGTTGAAACGTTTGAAGATTTATTTATAGCAACACTTGAAGCAATAAAACCATCCCTGTTACTTCACCCATTTGAATTTTATGTTGTTGACTCACTGCCGGTTTGCACAGAGCCGCGTGCTGAAGGAGAGTCAGGAGCAGCTGGAAAAAGCAGCTAAAGAAAGCCGCAAGCGCGTCAGCGAGCTGCTGGAGACGCTCAATGAGGCACGTGACAATGAGCTCAAACTCGAGGAAAGCTTCAGGATGGAGCTCAGTGCCCAGCAAAAACTTGTCTCTATTTATCAAAGTAAGCAATGAGATGAGCATACACTAGACAAATTTACTTTAGCAAACGTGCACTGATACTGACACGTCTTGAGTTCTTTGGTCCTTTTTGACAATTTCTCCACGTTATAACTCATGATGATTCATGACCAAGTCTTGACTCCTATTTTCAATACGTAAATTGAAACTCAAAGCTTCAGTTACGAAGGCAGTCATCATGGACAGTCAACAGAAGGCAGTCATCATGGACAGTCAACAGTTCCAAGTTTCATATATGATATGCATTTTTTTCGCAATTGTTTAGTAAATCAGCCTTAACACATTGAGTGTGGCACAACCCACCAGTGGGTTTTACCACTGGCATGAAATAATTACGCCCTGAATACGACATAGCCGCACTTGTTAAGGCTAATATCTCGTAATTCGTATTAGCCTTATAGCTAATATCACATCATAATATGTTAAGGCTGATATTTCATATTCATGGAAAATGTTAGGTTCCAGCAGGTCTGTGTAACGTATTAGTGTATTGTTGAGAATACTTACTGGTTAATGAATGGGTCCTTTAATTCTCTCTTGTGTATTGATGTTAACTTTTTGAATTATCATTTGCAAAGTATCATCGGAGGATCTCAAGACCCAATGCGATGAGCTGGAGCGTGGTGTGCTTGAGCTGAGGTCCCTCCTGAAGGAGGCAAGTGAGCAATACGGGGCCCTGGAGAGGGCCAAGGAGAGCCAGGCCCAGGAGGCTGACGCTCAGCTCCAGAAGAGAGAGGAGATTATTGCTGACCTTAGAGATGAACTTGATAAGGTTAACATGCTGCTTGAGGCAAACGCAAAAAAAGGCAAGTTTCTCTGTAGAATTAGTCGATATGGTAACTTTAATTATCACTCTTGTCACGTTCAAAATATTGTCAATCTTGCTCAAGTAATTGTAGCTTTTGAACCACTTGTTTCAAAGCACGAGTGGTTTCATTTTTGTATTCTAATAATTTATTGTTCTTAACTTTTACTGCATTGCGCCTGCTAGTATCATAATTGTTAAGTGATTGCCTCTCTTTCATCAAGCAGAGGAAGAAAACGCGATGTTTTCCCTGACCCCGGCTGCAAATGCTGCAAGCCAGCTCCTGAGCAAAGGCCTGACGCTGTCTCAACTCTATGCTGAACACTTGACGGCCACTGACAAGCTCCTCAAGGCGGAGGAAGAAAATGCAAACCTCACGCGTTACATCGACCAGATCCTGCAGGAGATTGAGGAACGAGCGCCTGCTCTGCAGAAGCAACGAAAGGAATACATTGCCGCCACTGAGATGGTTGAGGCGCTGCAGAAGCAGATTGATGAGAACAATGAAGCTTCGCGCACTATTGTGAGTTTTAATAACCGTAATTTATTAGATTTTTAATCATGTTACTTAACCTTTGGTGATTGCATTGATCTTTAAATTATCAACTTGTTTCAGACATAACTATAAATTTGGAAGTAAATTTGGTCATGAGCATTAATGAGCGGCCAGGAAATCAACATTCTGCCCAATATCAACTGGATTCTTCAAATTGATGCATAATATTTTCTTCATATGAATCAATTAAAGGCGTTATGAATTAGTTGAGAGGATGCATAAGGGCTGATTCATGGGTATATTGAATATTATTTAATGGTTTTGTGTGCAGCGGGATGAATGCAGTGAGCTGGAACGGCGTTGCAAGTTCTTGATGCGCGAGCAAGAGCGGCTGGTGGGCCGCAACGCAGACCTGGACAGGCAGGTGGCCGTGTTGCTCATGCAGGTCGAGGCCGCTAGAGCTGGCCTCCCGCCCCCAAACATAGGTGAGATCACTGCACCTATTATCTAGTATCGTCCAGTTGCTTTATAAACTTTGTGTTATTGAGCTATTATAGTTTGTCACGAATACATTTTGCTTGTTGCTTTCTCTGATGATCTCTGTTGAATTGAGATGAAGACAAAATACATTTATGTATACGTAATGTAAATACAACATTTGGAAAGGATGAATGGGGTTTAAAATATTATCCTTCTCTGTTGCAAAACCCTTGCAGGTGGCAAACTGCCGGGTTTTTAACTTTAATAGAATAATATGCGTTTAAAAATGGGTACTTTTCAAAGGCTTCATGTTCAAAAATTACTTTTTAAAGGCAACACTTCTAAAGAATACAGTGTCTCCGATGTTACACATCTACAATGAATTTTTAATTCTATTGCCATGTATTAAAAAATAATTTTTAAATTTTTTATTAATAAATGGAAAAAATTTAAATTTTCGAAATTGTTTATTGTGTCAATTGATTCATGCATTGTCTCCGACTATACACAAGTGTGCAAATTTTCAGATCGATTGGAGAGGTGGAAGTGTGTTAACTATCGATTATAAGATTTGTAGCTGACAGACAAACAAACAACTATTGGTGAAGTTAAAGAGAAGTGTTGTAAAAATCAACTTGTTTCACTCAATATCTTTTAATCTGCACTTGCGTAGTGCATGTTATTTTATTCTATATGCAAGAGTGCTTAGTTTCAAAATGATAGTTCATAGAATGTTAATGCATTTTATCACAGATGTGGGTAATTCATAAAATGTTCATACATTCTATGCCGTTGTCTTGCACAGATGACAGCATCAGTGGAGGTGTGAATGGTCAAGAGATGGTGAGTGCTCAGCTGCTGTGCTTCCGCGATGTTAGCGAACTGCAGCAGCAAAACCAGAAGCTTCTGCAGACTGTGCGTGCTCTCACTGACCAAGTTGAGCTTGCAGACACTTCCTCAAGGGACAAGCAGATTAAGGAACTTCAGGAACAGCTGAATGAAGCACATGCCGAGCTCGAGAAACTGCGCATTAGTCGGGACAAAATCGAAGCTATTGTTGAGAACGTCGTCCGTCAGCGTGACACGTACAAAAGTCTTCTTGCCACACAGGGGAAAGATTGGTCCTCAGCCACTGCTCCTGCTGTGAGTTTTGCCCTAGTTAATGACTTGAAGTTATGCACTATTTATTGAATTGAAGTTATGTAATCAGATGCAAGTGTAGATTCTTGTAGAATTTGCAGCACTTGGCCAGATTCCCGCGTAAAAGATTGTAGTTTCTAGTTAAAACCTACCTTGGTTCAGTTTTTTTTTTTGTTTAGTACCGTAGTTATTCGATTCTCTGATACCAGAATTATGTTGTGCAGGAGAGCTCTGCAGCAGACACCTCTCGCACATTCAACGCAGAAGCCGAGGCTAGAGGAGCGCATGCTCGGCAGCTGAAGGAAGAGCTGGACAAAGTTTCCAAGGAGCTGGAGACCTGTAAGGCTTCACTCGCTTCAGCCCAGCAAGAACTCAAGTCAACAGAGCGGAGGCATCAAGACCAGCTCAAGGAATCTCAGAAGCACCTGGATGATCTGAGGGCTACTCTTGACAAGACTAGGTATTTTCCTACTGAACAAATTTCTTGTGGATGAATTTTTCCTGCTTTGTTATATTCGTATGCAATGATTCTGTATGCTTACTAAACATAGTGAAATATTGTGTGTGATATCGATTAATGTTATCAGGATTGCCGAATTCAAATAACATTTTAACAATGAAATATTCTGTGTTCAATTTTTCGAGTTTTTTGATCGTTTTTAACATGGACGTCTGGATGTAATTATGTGTAATTTGGTTTTATCTAAAACTAATTTTGATATCTAGGTCCCAAAACGTGAAGTTGCTGTCGCACGCGGAGTATAATGATGAGCGCATCAAGACAATGCAGGGTAATTGTGAGAGCTTCCAGCGCCAAGTGAACGCTCTTGAAGAAAAGAACACAACCCTGCAAAGTGAGCAATCGCTACGTACTCTAAATTTCTCTTTTATTGATAGCTACGCTCCTGCTTCTAGTGAATGTTTTCTGCCATTTGCCTTACAAATTACTTCTTCTCTATGCTACTTAACCTTTAAATCCTATATTCACTTTCAAAATTTCATGCAGCTATGCAACCTTGCTTGCTCTGGTATGTATAGTTTTGTGCTGGCGGTAGAAGTGCGCGTAATAGATTGAACGCATTTTTAATGATAATGCGACGGAATTGTCACTAGCTCACTATGCTCCGCACATGCAAGTTCTCTCACTATTGTCTGGACTCTGGTTATTTCATCATTCATCGTCTGGTTATTTCATTTTGACGAATTTGCAGCACGTAATTCATTGCCGTAGAGTCTGGCTGATTAGGTACTACAGGAATTACACTTGCTACAAATGTAGAATTTTTAAATTATGTAGCCTGGCAAAAGTTGAAGGTTGCTTTTAGATTCTTAGTACATTTTATTGTTAGTCAGCGACTGAGTTTAATCTAGCAAATGGAATGGTTTGTGACTTTATTTAACTATAGCAACATTGATGCAAATATCATTGGCAAAATTAGTGTCGTTGTTTAGAATGGCTTATAACCGTGCAGGCATTGTAAGCAGACACGAGGCTACAATGGACCACTTACGCGGAGAACATATGACGCTTGTCAAGAAGTTGGCGCATGCTGAAGTCATTGCCAACAATCTGAAGGAAGAAAAGCTCATATTTAAGGTTTGGTTCTCACTTTTATCTTTCTTTGCATTTGATTTTTCTGGTACAATTGCTACCGAGATTAATTTGGCTATGAAAGCAGTATTCATCTCCCTTTGCTTTGGTGACAGCCCATTAACTTGCAGTGTTGATACGACGAGCAAGCGACGATGTTGACCTCTTATTTATTTTTTCTCTGTAATAAGATGATATTTAGATATCTCGTCTTGTCGTGTATGAAAGAACAATTTTTGTACAGGAAACTGAGGCACGTTTGCTCGCTGAGCGCGAGAATTTTTCACGCCAAGAGTCAACCCAAGCAATGGTGCTGGCCAGCCTCGCGAGCATCAAAAATAACTTGGAACACAAGGACGCTTCAGAGAGAATGCAATACCAGAACAAAATAGCTGATCTCACAGATCAAAATCTCAGGCTCAAGGCCAAGCTTGAAGCCAATACAGATCTTAAGGAGATGACCAACAAGTTTGTATTTTGCTCTTCTTGTTAACTTGAAATATTGTTGTGTTATATCAGTGACGCTCTTCAAATTTGTGCGTCTCTGTTTCAGATAATCTCAAGTGTTTGAGTCATACATTTAGAAAGTTGATAGTACTCATAGTTGGAGTTATAGAACATCATGATTTTTTATAATATTTCGTTCCTTGATTTTTCTAAGTTTGAGGGTAATTGACGCATGTCTTGTCCTGCAGATTGGCTGTTGTTGAAGAGCGCCTGAAGGCGTGTGAGCGTGAACGCGTCACCAAATCTGAGCATCTTGCTTCTGCCAAGGAGCACTTGCAGACACTGCAGAGCCGTTATGAAGAGTCTCTGCAGCGTGAGAAGCAACTTACTGTGCAACTCAAGCAGCTGCAGACAACAGGTTTGTGAATCACCTGTTTGAAAATGCAATAATTTTGTTAGAAATTGCTTATAATTTAAAATTTTAATTACTCCCTCATCTACTTGACCTCCAGGACTTCACCCTAACTTTTATTGAACGATTAAACATTAATTACTAGCGCCGATGTTATTTCTGCTTGCAGGAACGAGCGAGAATAACGGCAATGAGAACACGAGTTCTGCAGGCAATGATGGGTCGTCAGTGCGCGACGTGGAGGTGCAGCTGGCCGAGGAGCGGGGCCGAGTAGCGGCCCTGCAGCGCGCCCTGTCGCTCAATAAGGAAAGCCTCGCCTCCCTGCAAACAATTTGCGCTCAGCAGGAGAAGGAGCTTGCGCAGTCTGCGGAGGCTACTCAAACTATGCTCAAAAAGTTCGTTTCTTCGTTGTTTTATCTCCTCTTTTCATCTCATTTTTGGGCATTATCTGAAAAAATCAAATTTTAGCCCATGGTTGTAATGGGTTTAAATATGTACATGGAAGTAAGCGTTACAAGCTTGATTATTAGAAATGCCAAGAGCTCCTGTCATCTTGTTATTTTTAGAAATTTGTCTAAATGTTGAGCAGTATTTTGGTGCTAAATTTTATTAGGTTGTCTGCTTCTAAATAATGTGGCTAAAGTGATCAAGTTAAGAGAATTAATAGTTTTTATTCGCATTTTTGGTGTTAAGCTTGCATTTTACTACATAATTTGTTGGTTTCGGGAGTGCCTGCTTGTATGTTGCATGATTTTGCTTAGTACTTGGGGTTGCTCTAATGCCAACCATTCCAGATTAGAGGAGATGAGTGCCGAGAAGTTAGCGGTTGAGAAGCAGCTTGCCGCTATTGAAGAGAAGTTACAGCAACTGCAGGAGACGTCTGAGGAACGAATTGCAGAACTGACACGTCAGTTGCAGCAGGTACGGCATTTTAAATTACTTTAGCATCCGTTTTACGAATTTGTACGCTAATTATATACTTGTTCGCGAAGGGTTTTCAATCCTCGCTCCTGAGAAATATTTTCGGTTGGACACAGAAGTGGTTCACATATTGTTCTGACTTGATCAAACTAGCCCGCTATTAGCCTATAATTACGATGCTCTATTCAACTTCCATTGACTTCTTCAGATGTAAGAGAAATCTTATTTGTTAGCCTTGACTGTGATTATTTTTACAGACTCAAGAGGATGTATTATCTTCAAAGGACGTAGTTGAGACTGCTCGAGCTGATCTCGAAATGGCCAAAAAAGTTGAGAATGATGCCAAGAAGATCATTGAGGAGGCTCAGAGGTCTGTTAAACATTTCATTGAGTTTTTAACCAACTGATTTACGCAGTTTTTAAGAGCTTGATCAAAATTATTAATTGTAAATATTTAAAATTAGCTGTCATTCCTAAAATTTTCTAAGATATATGATCCAACAGTGCATTCAATCTTTATGAATCATTTATGAGTGCGCCACTAATTTTGTTTTGTTGTCAGAGAGACGTTGGCGGTGCAGCAGAAATACGAGCGCGAGGTGATGCTGCACGGCTCTGACCTGCAGCAGCTTGCTAAGCTCAAGGAGGAAGCAGCACATTACCAAGCTAACTTAGGAAAGATTACAGCTGAGAAAATAGCTGCGCAGGAAACTCTTGAGGGTGAGCTAGTATTGCCTTCTACTGCTTAGTTTGTTTATTGCCTTTCACTGCTTTCCCTATTGCTAGCTTGCAGGTGTCATTGCTAAAATTACATTTTCGAAGAGTATTAATACATTTTCGAACCTAATTAATATAAGTTATTGTCCACAGAGGTGCAGCGCGCCGGCAACCAGCTCACAGATTCGCTAAAACGAGACCGGGAAAGCCTCACCGAGCGCATCAAGGAGCTCGAGGACCAGAACAATTCCCTCGTCGAGCAGTTCTCACAGCTCTCTGATAAGATGGCCTCCCTACAATCGAAGATGTCTCAGGTTTGCATTAACTTATGTTGGGTAGTCCACGGATTGTTTGCAGTTGTTCACACAACTTTGTATGATCATGCTTAGTTATTACTAACGCACCAAATCTTTGTGATAGTAACTTTTTACTTCTAAGTAACAATATCAATATGCTCAATAACCTGACTTGATGCTTATTCAAGTCAGCACATGCAAGAATATGATGAATTTCTAAGATGTCTGCTCAAGAAATTGTTCTGTCAATGACTATTAACGCTTATAGTTATAAAATGTTTCAACTATAAGCTTATCGTTGTTCGTGTCTAGGATGGCAATGAGAGCATAGGAAACGTGTCGATGAGCGAAGAAGAGTGCCGCACTTCAGATCAGCTGCGTGAGGTCATCAAGTATCTTAGGCGGGAGCGCGAACTCGCGACTGGACGATGTGATGTTGCTCAGGCTGAGCTGTCACGTGTCAAGGCTCAGATAGAGTGCGCTCACAAGCGAGCCGAGCATCTAGCTGCTGAGCTCAACCAGGCTAGACTTGACCAGCAGGTACGTCAGATTCTCTTGTCTAGTGCCTCGATATTTAATGCAGAAATTCAGCTCCATTTAGATGCAATCTTTTCAAATGCAATAACAAATATCTTGTATTGTTGCAGACTAAATTTAATGATGAACTTAGGGAACACACCTGCTAAGTCGTGAACAGTTATTTTATCTACAAATTTAATTTTTTATTTCTTTTTGATCGTTTTTTAAGCCTTCTTGAACAAGTTAGTTTAAACTGTCCATATTTTTAGGAATAGATTTAATTGAGTGTTGTGCGTTCTTCTATGGGAACTCAGGCGTCACTGGATACAACATCGCGCTATGGAGAACTTCTGCGCAAAGTGCACACAGTGGACGCCCTGGCCGACAGCAACAGACTCTTGCGGCAGGAGAAAGATGATCTACAGCAGCGTGCTGATCAGGACAGAGCAAGGGCTGATGCTCTCGCTGCCCAAGTCGAGCCTCTTAACATCAAGATCGCGGAAACTCTCGCTGAAGTCGAGACTCTTCAAGTCAGAACAATTACATTTTGTTTCACTTATTTACACCTGAATTTTCCGTTTGATCTTTTTTTAAATGGTGAATTAGGTATCTATTTAATAGTCCGCAACATCACTATGTGTAGTTGAAAAAATTACTGCAGTTCAACTATTTTCGAATGAAAGGTTTATCTGCTTTTGATTCGTTACTGTATGAATAGGATTTATTGATATGGATTTCATTAATTACATGTTCTGCTCACGTATATACTTCTAGAAAGCTATCTCCATTAGAGAACTTGATTGCTTAATTTTAGGGTTACTTTCTTGTCTGAAAAAAAAAAGATGTTATACTCATGCGTTTGCTTGTTTATCGAGGCTATTTTATTCATTCATTCCATAAAATGCGAATTTTTATTATTTGCACCACTAGTGAAATTTATCGCATTATATATTACTGCAATTTAATTCAAATTATCGTAACAATATTAGTAATGTGTCTTATAGGTCGAGAAGAAGGCCCTGGAGAAGGACATAGAGATGTACAAGAAGCGAACTCAAGAACTTGTAGAGAAACTAAATCGTGCCAAACCCGAAGACTTCATGAAGATGCAGTGAGTTCCCCAATAGACGAATCTCTTATTCTGATACTATTGATTGATTATAATGATTTATGTATTTTGTTTCATAAATACTGACACTAGTTTACACTGTCATTTTAGTAGCGCTTATTTACCCACCACCATCTTCCGTGGTTGTGGGTAATCACCACGGAATCTTCCATCGTCCGAATCTCATCACCACGATTCCGTGTTTCAGACAGGAGTTGGCCGCCACCAAGAATGCCCTTGCCCTCAAGGAGACAGATAACAACAAACTCAGAGTACAGGTGAGCAAATTTATCTAGGCTACATTATAGTGTTTTTTTTAGTGCGTTTGTTCCACTAGAAAACCACCTCGAGAAAGTATAACAGTGATATCCTTTATATCCTCTCCAATGTATCATAAGATTCTTGAAGTTTAACTATTTTTTTATGTGTGTCTCTTTTTCTGCTTCTATTTTTTTTTTGTAAATGATAATTGAATAAAAAATTATTCGCAGGTGGGCCAGCTTCAGAAGAATATTAGAATGGTGGTGACGTCTCGTGATGGCCTCCAACAGCAGCATTCTGCTATCAAGGAAGAGAAAACTAAACTCATGGAAGAGAACAAGAAGCTTGTGGCTGAGAGGACCAGGCTTGTTGCGCAGGTATCTCACGTTGAAAAAGTTTGTGTTCAGCACTTTTATTTCACTGGTTCTTGCTTTGTTTCTTTTGTTATAACCCATACCTGTAGTTTATTGGTTCAATACGTATGGATTATGAAGTGAAAAAATAATCTTTGCTCATTCGGACTTGCTTCTAACAATATACACACAGTATATTCTCCTATTGATTCCTTGTTGATTGCTCTTGTGTACAAATCTTGTAAATTTATTGGCTTCATTTAATTTATTGGCATTCCTTGACACCCTTATCTCTTAACTGTTCATTTGTTTACAACTAAACTTATGTTGCAACTTCCGTGAAAAGTTTTACTATTGTTCACGTTCGTTAGGATGATTTTTTCATACTTTAATGTAAATTGATGATATTACGTTAAATACACAACAGTAGAAGACCTTTAATTTTTTTGCCACGTTTCCTCTGTAGGTTGGACAACTGCAGGAGCGCAACTCCTCTCTGCAGGCAGCCCAGCAGCAGGAGCAATTGAAGCAGCTCGAGCTGCGTAATCAGCTCTTGCAGCAGGTAGCTCTCCTGATCTATAATATCCTTCATACGTCAAGATTATTTGTCTGATTTTTTTATTGTTGCCTGTACTACGAGCTTTTTTTTTGTTATCATTGAATTCAAGGTGACAAAAATATCTTAGACTCATGCGTCAACAAATGTAGCCTTGTGTGAAAAACGTAATCGTAATCATTAAAATTCATGACCACTATGATGATTGCGTCGGAGAATGAGCATTTGTTGTGTGTTGCTTAGCTCGGCGAAGTAAAGCAGCGCGAGGAGGCAGCGAGGCGGGAGTCAGACTTGCTGAAGAAAGAAGCGGAGGCGTCCAAGCGCCTTGCTGACACAACTAATACCACCCTCGAAGAAACTGAGAACAAGAATGCTGAACTCCAGAAAGCCTTGACTCAGGTGAAATAAAATGTTTATTGTTCAGTTGTTACAGTTTTGTTTACTTTTTCATTTTTTTTAATAATAGAGGTTATAAATTTTGTATCAAATTTTTCGAATTGATGTAGTACTGACTATAACTATAACCTGCGAAAATTATTATATGGTCCAACCAAACATTGAGTAAACCATACATTAGCTTCATAAGATTTGTGATTTTTACAATTTTGTACGAGTGTGTGTGTTGTAATGTACTTTGCCTCGCCTAACCTGTGTGTCATTAATTAAAAGTTTTTAACGCTCTGATATAATTTAATTTCATTTAAATTCTTTCTAGTTGCGGAAAATCGCCCAGAAATACAAGAAGGCTGCAGAATCTACTTCGGTGAGTTATCCTATCCAACTTTATCAGGGATGGAAGCAGGGGGTTAATAGTTAATACTTGACTTTCATTTCCATCCAGCGCTTTGAGAAATTTCATTTGAAAGAAGTCAACAAGCTGTGTGAGAATAAAATTGCACAAATTTAAGAACAAAAACGTTTTTATTCATCTACTTATTGGTTTATTCCATTGCAGTGTTTGCTAATGTTCAGCAAAAAATTCGAAATCCAGACTTCATATGCGAAGTTGAATGTTTATACTTATCCTAAATAGGATCTGTGACTGAAAATGTGACTAGTGCCACATTCTTATTCCTTCCTCGTTTTTGTGATGCCACATCGTTCACCCTTACTTGTTAGACATTGTTTGTTAATCGTACAGCCACAAAAAAGTGAATGATTGATTGGCCATATTTACGCTTCATGAAACAGGCACGAAATCGATCTCTGGTAGCAAATAAGGATGCTTCGCTCACGTCTTTTATTTCATCAGGAAGAGGAAGGTTCATCTTTGGCTGCTCGTGTCAAAGAGCTCGGAGAAACTAACGAAGAATTGCGCCGTCAGCTTGAAGAAGCTTCTAAGACGTGAGGCTGTCTAATTCGATTTTTAGCACTAAACGATCTGGTGGTGATAAAATTTTTTCTTGTTTTATAAAATTTTCTACTAAAATTTTCAAAATTCACTAAACTGCATCAATGTTTGATCAAATTTGAAAGTGAGTGAACTTGTTTAATAGTTTGTGCTTCACAGTAGCTGGATATTAAGATGCTATGGCGCATTCACATGTTCAGAGATGGACGGGACCAAGAAGGAGCATCGCGTGCCAAGCTGATGGAAGGAGAGGTGACCCGTCTGCGTCAGGAGCTGGAGGCGCGCACCAAGGAGACTCACGCCCTCAGGAGCACTGTTAACAAGCAGCTCACAGATATCGGCAAAAAGTTAGAGGAGGCCAATGCGAAGAGTCAAGTAAGTCGCTTACTGAATTAAAATGTTTGTGAATCAAAATCATGGATTTTAACCTTCGTTAAGGTTTACTCAGCACTGGTTTGATCGTTGTGATGAAATTAATCATTGTTAGTTGTAGTGAACTCTGCTTGATTGGTGTTTGTTGCAATTTTTGTAATATTTTCTTAATTATTCTCTTCAGGCTGGCGAATCGCGCGTTGTTCAGCTAGAAAAAGAGAAAGAGCTTTTGACTGGGCAAGTGGAGGCCTTGAACTTGAAAGTAACCACGATGCAGCGGCAGATCAACCTGGATCCCACCGCATGGCCTAAACAGCAGCAAACGGGGGTGAGGAATATTTCAACTTGTCGTCTCGTGCTTTGACGTTTTATTATTTAGTTTTGATTGCTATTAGTTTCTTTCCCATTGAAAAAAAAAAACTTACGGGACTTTCCTACTTTCATGCAGACGTCGAAGCCGTCCACAAGCGTTGCAACATTGGACAAAGCTCCAAGCGAATCTCCACCCACTGCCAACATAAAGCCTTTGGCTGCAGCGTCGCCCTCTGTGACATTATCTTCTCCTCGCCCAACGGCTGTGACCACCGCGCCCTCCCGCACAATTCCGACCGCAAGCATCCGTCCACTAGCTCCACCTTCCTCGTCCGCTCCTAGCATGGTTGTGGTGCCTCATAGAGATGTGCACAGCGAGGGCCTCGTATCGTCCTCAACGGCTTTGCCTCAGGCCACCGTCACCCCCACACCATCTGCTTCTTTACCCACTTCTACTGCCACAACGACAGTCACACTGCCTACGTCCACTGCTACAACCGCTACCCAGCTGCCCATCGCTGCTGTGGCCGTCTCGTTGGTGCAAGGTACCACGCTCACAGCCACGGTACCACCCACGCCCGCCGTGGCTGCTCCAATCGTCCCAAGCGGAAGTTCTTCAAGCAGTGTCAGCGTGCCAGTGGCTACTGCCGCGGTTGTATTGGAATCAGCAGAGCCAATAGAGGCAGAAGGAGAAACTGCCGCAGACCAATTTGTATCACAGGCCATTGCTCTGATTGCGCCTAGCCAAGAGATACCTTCCGCAGTACCAGGTCCTTCGTTCAAGCGTAAACGCGAAGGTGAAGACCAGCAATGCGTTGACGAAGATGAGAACAAACGCACTCGTGTGGAGCTAGAAACGCCGTCTGAAAGTTTGGGGGAAAGCAGCGAGCAGCAGCCGCAGCAAGAAGTTGGAGATGCAACGAGCTCCTCTAATTCTCTCCATGCTGAAGCGCGTGCTGTCGAGGCTTCGAGGGCTGAGGACGATGTTATTCTTGTAGACTCTGATGACGAGGAGCATCGTGAACGGCAAGATTCTAATGAAGTTGAGCAAAGCTTGCCAGCAGAACGCATGGAAGAGCGCGAGGCTGAAGAACGGCGCAGTTTGGCTGATAATGAACTGCCCATGCAATGCGAGGCTGCCGAGGTGCCCAGTGAGAGCCACGAAGCCATGCAGGCCGCGCAGCAGCAACAGCCTTCCTCATCTTCACCTGGACATCGGCAGTCTGCACTCGTCCTCCCGCGGCCTTCTGCTAATAATGACAGAGTTGGCTCTTCTGGTGAGAATCTTTCATACTACCTATTGTTAAGGATGGAGTACTTTGCATTAGTTCTTCATAATGAAATTGTAGCTGAACTGGTAATGCAATGGTAAGCTCTTCTCGAAATTTAAACATTTTTCCATTTTGTGTTTCATAGATGATGAGAATGATGTACAATAATGGTTCAATGTGGCTGATAGCCAATGGAAAACAAGTTTTTGGATAATAACAGCTAGGCGCAAGACCATATTAAATAGTACGCAAAAATTATTCAGGAAGCAGCGACGGAGGCACTGCAAGTCTGTACGAGGATGGCAGTGACGCGTCCCAATCTCGGTTTGAAGCGCTGCCTGAACCAGTGAGCTCTCCTCAGGTCAGTTACGTATCAATAACCTCCTACAAGAGTGATTAGTACTACTCGCTGATGTTGGTGTCTTTGTGCTGTTGTTCTAATCATTTATTCGATGCGGACAAGTCTATATAGAAGTTCAAGTTTGATAGTTAGATGAAAACGACCTCGTTGTGTTGCAGCGCGGAACGGCACCGCCAGCACCTCTCTCCCCTGGGACTGACGCGACGAGCGAGAGCGGCGTGAGCACCAGTGATGCCGTCGGCCCCTCAGCTGACTCAGCAGCTGGCACCTCACAGCAGCAGTTGCAGCACTCGCCTGGTAGAGCTTCTTTGTCTTTACGTTCTATCTACATCAATTCAATGTTGTTTTTGTATGAGCTTCAAGTACATGGCTTACTAGCTAAATGGACTTGATGACCATGAAATGACCTTCACTTCATGAACGTTTTTATGCAACGAACGTTTTTCATGTTTGTTCCACGTTACTTTCATTATACTTTTGGGTGATTTCTCATTTATTTTGTATTGCATCTAAATATGCGCCATTATTTCGCTGATTGTGTGTAAACCTTAACTGTGTCAACTATTATTTATGTAAGAAATGGCCCCGAATTTAGGTTATTTATTAGTTTTTTCATTCATTCGCACATTTTTCATTCAGCAAGTGATGAGTGCGACGATGTACTTTTCTCGGCAGACGAGATGGCAGTTCCATCTGGCAACTACCCTGAGGCTGACAGCGTTGCGGCTCACGACGGTGACGAGGAGATGGAAGAGGAAGTGGACGATGAGGAGGAAGATGTCGGTGAAGATGATGAACAAGCTGACGAAGAGAACGACGTTTCGCCTGAAAACAACAGAGATGTTGAAGAAGAAGACGATGGTATGATAGGGTAGCTGCAGGGAAACGACCGTGTGGCGTGTGTTCGATACTGGGAGTGAATTTGTGATGCTTCAAGTGTGCATTGAAGAAAATATACGCGCAAGTCAAGCTCAATTGTGATTGATTGTCATTAAAATCTCCTTGTTGTGAGAGTTCTAATGAGCATTCCATTAAAATATGCTAGGCGATGCCAATTATTGGTTTTAAAGTGCGCGTTTAGTTTCTCAGTTCCTACAAGGAAATTCATTGTGGGGGAAATATTGTTATTGGTAAATTTTTTTCATGGTGCTATTGAAGAATATTAGTACGGTGTTAGCCTAGTAGACGTACTTGTTAGTTTATCACACTTCAAGGTTTCGTAATCAGTAATCTTACGGTTTACTCGATTGTCCTTTGTTTTTGCAGTCGTTGAAGTCCCGGATGATGAAGAAGAGGAAGAAAGCTCTGAAGCGCTGCAGCAGCCCAGAGAGGCCGTACATCAGGTGAGCCTTTCAGAGCTTCGTGTACATTTGATGGCCATGTGAGAGGGATGAAGTGTCTGGCGGTGGGAGATGTCAAAATACACCTTCCACTTTTGAATTTGCTTTAATTAATACACATTCCTGCTTCTAAACTAATATGGTTTTAAATATACGTGAAATAAATCTATTAATTTAATATGTTACAAATATAGTATTGTGTATATTTCTGTCTGGTACTTTCTCTGTTTGCACGATGAATATTTTCTCAAATTTCTCTCATGAGTCAGATATAAGAATAAAGCTTATGTTTGTAGGAAAGAGATGTTGATGAAGTGACGAGCGGTGGCGAGGAGGTGAGTGGAAGCATGGGCCCATCATCATCGTCGTATGCGGCTCCATCATCTTCTTCATCATCGATCACCGCCCCAGCTTCCCCATCGTCATCCTCTTCCCGTCGCATCACCCCGATCACCTGGGACCGCTCCACACCCCAACATGGCGAACCTCAACGCGGATCTCGCGGTTAGTGGTCTCAGTTGCTCACACTTAACTTTCTAATACAGACAAAAATGGTTTCATCTCAATAAACTTATTTACTTACCCCACTCTCTAACACTAAGGGTATTAAGGAAGGTTTATAGCAGTATATCTATGTGAAACCAGATGACTGGAATTTTTCTGGTGGTATCGCAGTGATCAGTCTTATTTTATAATCGGAGCACGATTACGGAAAAAGGTAGGCCTCTACTTCTACAATCTTACTCACGGAAGCAGGATAGGTAGTTACTGAGAGACTAGTTAGATTGATGCCACGCTACACTATTTTGTATTTCGTGAATTATTCGGTATGCTGTCTGACTGTAAATGGAAAAAATCTATTTTCAGCTTCGCTTGGTCCTTTTCCAGGCAATTATTTTCAGTTTTTTTTTTTAATTTGATAGAACGTTCAATCGAGGCCTACCGAACCCTGAGCTTGTTTAAATTTTAGTAGCGTCATGCCGAGGACCCAATTTACATCAAACTGCAGTGTATTTTACATTCCGAAGTTTATGAAATTTGTAATCAGCAGGTCAGAGAGTGCGAGGTCCGTACCGCAGCAGCGACCGCATTCTAGGACGACGCCAGCAGCAGCAAGCACCAGTGGAGGTGCCGCAAAGGGGCGGCTTCACCACTCAGCGCAGCGTCCGTGGAGGCCAGAAGGCGCGTCGCTCTCGTCAGGCGCACATGTAGATTTGCGCTAGTCTACTTTAGATGGCTGGCTGTTTAGATTTAATATCGTTCTAGAATCATTTTCCCCATTTACGATAACGTGAGGTTTACATATATTGGCTAAATCTGATTATTATTTTTCAAGAATTGGAATTTTTGCTCAAGAGGAATATTTCGTTTCTATGACCCACACGGGCGTTAACAAGTAGTATGTAGTCATTGAAGGAAATGTGAAGCCTATTTTCGTTTTGTTCACACTGATCAATGGCTTAATTTTTTTTAAAGGGGATCACCCTTCATGAATGGTTCCTTATTGTTTGTTCAAGTATGCTACTCTCGGTATTATAATGACCCAATATATGTCATTTTTCTCAACATTCCCTCCGAAATCCGTACAAGTTTACTTGGTGCTAAGCGCAACGACGCTCAGTCAACCGTTCAGATTTTGGTCGGTAACATTTGTGCCGCATTAGAATAATCATCTGAAATGAACCTGAAGAGAAACGCTGAAGTATGGAAATTCTGTACACTGTATTATTCAATTGCTACTTTCTGCAACTTATAAATCCTCCAGTTTCAGTTTACGGTTAATTACTTGGATGATAAGCCTAAAACAAATTACAACCATTACTTTGGAAGTAGCCTGACTGCTTTGAATGAAAAGATTTCACGATAAGTGTCAAACATAGCCTCTTGTTCAACACCCTTTAGTCACTTCATATTCACTGTCACGCCTAAATAATGCAAAATGTTCAGTCCTGTAATACTAATTATAGATCTCAATAAGTGACGGATGAATTTGGTCTCTCATTTCACCTCATGAGCGTTCTACACGAGAAAACAGCTCAAACATAATAAATGTTTGAAGTGCCATACAAATTTCTGCAAATCAAATGTATCGTATTTCGTCCACCTCCATGCACATGGTATATATCTAGGAAAATGAATATAGCTAACGAGTCTAAAATTTTTATAATGGAAATATGAAATTTTGTAAATATTGATAAGGTGGTAGGTGGTTCAGAGAACGAAAGATGTATCAAGCTTCAGATTAAGAACGGTTCTTCAAGATGAGAAAGTGCAATACAGATACAGATAAAACCCACTTTATATTAAAACGTCCAGAAATGAATCTTGTCCAACACGTCTAACCTGAGATTTATGCCCGTATATCAATTTCCAAGCATCTGTTATAATATCCGTGTGCGTAGAGACTCTGAATGATACAGATTGAAAGGGCTTATTAAGTCTGAACTTAACATTTATCAATCGAGCAAAAGCGAGAGAGAGTTCCTCTGTGAATTCATCGATTCCGTGCAGCAGCAAGGTAGATACCGGTACTGCCATATTAGTCTCTAGCTCATTCAACAATGATTTGATACATTCACTGGTTAATCGAGCGTTATGAGATATATTGACCGAACACAAGAATGGACAGCGATAAAAGTAAGGACGAATGACTTCCAAGTCGTAAGAACTAATATTGGCAAACGTCAAATCCAGAGTTTCGAGCATACATTGCTCTCCACCGCCTAGCAGCTCAGCGAGCGCAGCGCCTATGCCAGCACTACCCTCCGTGGTGCAGCGCACACCGCGCAGAGACAAGTGCTTCAGATTTGGCACGCACATCAACAAGTTCTTTATAACTGGAGCAGTAAACGAATTGCCGTCAAGCATGAGTGTCCTGACATTATCACTAACTTGCACCGCTTCCGCTTCCCTGATATCGAGTAAACAATGTTGCAAATTAATAGATGTCAATTTAGGGAGAGAAAGCAGTCCAACGATTTCAGAATAACTACATCCAAACATCGCATTATACCCAAGATTCAAAACGCTGATACCACATTTGGAGAAGCTTGGTAGTCTTTTTATCAATTCTGATATAGATTTTTGTGAAATAGCACAAGCATGAACGTCGAGGGACGACAGGTTTGGAATCGACGGAAGTATATCTAATAGGACTTCGAAGCCATCATCACCCAAATTTGTGTTAGCCAGGGACAGAGAATGAAGGCTCTGATTGCGTTGTAACGCTCGTAACACGAGCCTTATCTGTGCTGGACATCGGGTGACGCGTTGCAACTCCAGGACTGACGAGGACTCAGCTTTCGTAAGCGTAGTAATGATACGAGGACACGGAGCGACTTGTTGTAGCACGCAATCCTGACTGTAACGGAGGTGTAGCGGTGGCAGCTCCCACGCTGACACAATTGCCGTTAGTTCCTCTTTCTCCTCACCGAGCACCATGGTGATGGGGTCACTTGGATGCAACAGCGCACCGTCGTGGGTCTGTAGTCCTAACGTTGGCTTGATGCCCGCCAATTGATAGTAGCGGCTAGAAATTTCTGAGCACAGCCACTCAATAGTGCGATCACGACGCGAGTCGGCAATAGGTACCAATAGAATTTTGTCTTCAACATTAACGCGGATGCGGATTGGAGCAGCGTTGTTGGAACTATCGCAAGCAACACGAGTGCCGGGACCAGCAGAAACAGTGTCGGCAAATGATAAAAAATTTGAAGAACTGGCGCCAGCCTTAGATGCAGTATGATTCCTTGACACAGATGATACATCGCTGATTTCCAAGTTATCACTCAAATAACCGTTATCACTATCAACCGAGCGGTCATCTTCTTCGTTTCTGCGCACCGTTGGAAATCGCTCTAGCATTGAACTAAGTTTCACCTGCTTGAAACGACGCCGACTTTTCTGGTCTTTCGACAATCTTTCTGCAGGACTCTTCTCTCGTAGTATTTTTCTGGCTTTCGAGCTCACAGTAAAATCTACATACGATTTTGACAGAGGCCTCTTGCGTTTAGAAGAAGTTCTCGTGTCTTGCTCAATGAAATCATTCTCTCCAACAAATTCATTTTCTTCAATCAATCCGCTTTTTGCCTTCAACTCTTTGTGAGCGCACGAGGTGTCCAGTAGCGGCAAATCAATTACTGACGGCCGGTCATCTGCCGCGTTGCGAGAGACAGCGCTGCCCAGCTCGCTGATGGCGTTCCTGTACCGCGCCACAGCGCCTGCTCTGGGGCGCGGTCGACGAGGCTGCGCCGAAGGAAGCGCGTCATCGTCATCTGAGTAAACAATGGCCGAGGCGAGTTCATCGGCTTTTTCTGTATTGTCAGTTATTTGACTAAGGGAAAACTGATTATTTCCTGTAGGAGATTTCCTCATCAAATGATTTGCCTCAGATGAACTAGAACTTTTCGACATGAAGGTAGTCAGATTTACATAACATCCTTGTTTTTCCATCATAGACTTCAATTCTTCTGCTACGATATCAATTTCAAGAATCTGATCATCGGTCAAATTTTCCGCGCGAAGTTTATACGACAGCAAACATTCCAGCGGCGTTTCGCCGTCATCATTTTTACATACGACAGAGGCTCCTTTTTCCAGCAAGAGTTTTACGATGTCGAGATTACCACAAGATGCTGCATCATGCAAGGGAGTGATTCCGTTGCAATCGGTTCCTCCTCTATCGTTAATGTGAGCCCCGACTGATAACAAGAACTTGACCAGCTCTAAATGACCGTGATTGCACGCTTCGTGCAATGGCAGCCAGCCAGCTTTGTCTCGTACGTTAATTCTATGTCCATGTTTAACCAAAGTCTTGGCTTTAGCCAGCTCTCCATTTATACAGGCCTTGTGTAGAGGAGTTTCACCGAAATAATTACATTTTTCAATGTTTCGAACAATTATGCTATTAGGAGCCCGAGCTCGAGGACTAGCCTCATTTTCTGATTCGCTTTCTGACAACTCGAAGGAACTTTCATTACTTTCTTTGTCGCTTTCATCTTCACTAAATTCACAATCGGAATCAAGATTAAACACAGTCTTCACAGTTTCAATTTTTTGCAGTAAAGACTCTTTCACCATCGGCTGAAGTTCATCGAGAGCGGCTTGTGTGCGCAGGACGTGCATTTGTAGCTTGCCGCAATTCGCGCGCTGTGCTAGGGCCAAGGCTTCGTTATAATATATTTGTAGCTGCTCACTGCTCTCCGACAGCTGCTCACCAAGCAGAGCGATGCACAGCAGAGTCTTACACGCCTCCTTTGGATCCGTCTTCAGCCGCACATCATATTCTTTCTTGTAATATGCTTTTGCCTCAGCATATCTCTTGTCTTCTTCGTAGGTTTTCGCAAGTGAATAATAAATCGGTGCTATTTCAGACTCACTTTTACCTAATGTTAAAGACTTCTCTATCAACTTCTTGTAATTCAGAATGGCTTGATCAGGGTACTTTAGATTAGCGTATAAGTCACCTCTCTTTTCCAGTATTTTCAGTTGCTCTTCATCTGATATTTCTTCTTGGTTTTCTAGTTTAAAAAGTTCAGAAGTAGTCTTCACTAAAGGCTTCAAAGATGCAACGTCACTGCGATCAGCTTGAGCTATTTTGAAAGCAGACGTAAATGCTCGTTTAGCCAGCGCAATATTGTCAAGCCTAAGATACAGCAGCCCTAACGTTCGATGAGCTTCCACTCTTTTACAAGGTTCCAATTTGACAGAAATAGTCACTGCGACTTTACTCTCTTCCAAAGCAAGGCCTATTTTATCCTGTTTTACATATTGAAAACACAACGCGTCATGACATCGATATAAATCTTCATGAAACGAATGTTGACGCGCTAATGTCGCCGCTTGTTTTATAAGGTCTGAGGCTTGCTTTGTGTCACCCTTGTGATCTGCAACCAGTCCAAGGTTGAGGTAGAGACGACAGCGCATAAGAGCCAACTCATTGGGCAACACTTCGCCAGGCATCAGATCCTTGCACTTCTCTAAGGACTTCAAAAAATTGTCCTTGGCGCAGTTTATGGCGTCATTTTTTTCTGGAGAGGTTGTCGCACGTTCGATGCGATCAAGTTGCGTCCTGCCAATGGTGGCATAGGCACGTTGCTGCTCCAATACACTGTTCGCTTCAGTAGCAAGCACTAGGTGCTGCTCCTGGTGCTGCAGCGCTGCCTCCGTCTCGCCAAGTTCAAAGAGCACCTCACCCACGCGCCGGTGCGCTACACCCATGCCTGCAATCACAGAAACAGAGGCTCAAAACCAATTCCAATAACGAGCAGAATGAATATATTCACTTGAATTTAATGCAAATCAAAGTAAGAAAAACACCCACCAAGTGTGTCATTAAGCTTTGTGCAGGCATGAAGCTCCCGTCGATGGTAATTGAGAGCTTCACTGAAGTCCCCAGTGGACTGCAATTCACTGCCCAAAGCATTGCAAAGTGTTGCAATTTCACGCCAGTCATTTCGTTGCTCTGCCAACCGCAACTCTTTGGAGAATTTTTTGCGTCCCATGTTGCCTGCCCTTTACAGACAAACAGAGAGTGAACAAAATAGAAATTCTGCCTAAAATACCTACAAAATAAAAACTTCTTACTCTTGGTGACGACAGAAGCACATCAGATGTAATTTGTATCTTTTAGTCCCAAAATTAAGGGACAGATTAAGCTCATATTGGAAAGTTCAATAACAATTTAAACACATGTCAAATCTCATATTTTAATTTTATGTGAATAGGAAATGCATGTATAGATTAATTTGATGACCTGTTCATTAAATATTTATCGAAATTCCTAGTCAAGGTTAATCTGCATGAAATTTCTGGGTAAAAAAAGGTTTCTTCATTAATAGCTGGCAATATGGCCCTCACAACAATGCCTAAAGAATAATTTGGCAATGGCAACCCTATATGGTACATAATACAATTTTAGAATTAAATGCATAATTAAAGTCTAAATAAATCTTACAGGATACATTTTCTCAATTGAACCAAACTTGACAATTAGAGATAGCAACTGTAAGGCAATGTTCTACAATTGCTACAATTTGAGACACTCAAAAAGTATTGTAGTCCATATCATTTAATATTGACTAAGTTGATCCCAAATTCCCACGTACTATGGAGATGGAGAAGTGCAGTCAACATCTGTTTTTCATCATCTTAATGCCTTGGCATTTTTGAAGAAATAATTTGGTAGCTTAAAAGAAATTTATCCATGGTCATGACTTCCATAGTCCTTTACTGTGATGTATCTCAACTAAAGAAAAAATTGCATCAAGAATAGAAAAATTTGGTGGAATGCCTTTGCTTTTACTGGAATGCAGACTAATATTCAAGATAGGAGGCCAACAGCACTCACAAGACAGGCAAGGGAGTGGGGAAGGAGCCAGCAAATGTGCTTAGCTCTCACTGATGCACATTGAATGCTATTCCCCCTGTTGTTCTTAGCAACATGCCATGACAAACACATATTACAAATATTCTGTAGAAATTAGTAATAGTATTGTAGGTACCGTCAAATGGGGTAATAATGGACAGTCCTCCAGCATTTTGTAGAAATGTTGTAGCAGGTAAACTAATTAAAATATTGCAAAACTATAAATAGTGGTGTAAAATTCACCATTTCTGCTATCTATGCAGCATAAAGCAAGTTGAAAAATCATACATTTATTACCTCTAAAAAATCCCTGAAAAAAAGTGTGAAAAGTGAGATTTTGGAAAAGTACCTCTGCTAAGGTCAGTAGCAGAAAAAATATTTGTCATACTGAAAAATTTCACTTACATAAAAGATGCACACTAGTGTTGGCTTAAAAATGTGATTGACAGAATTTGCATATCTCATTCCAAGAAGAAATGGTGGCCATTTCCGCAAAACAGGGTAATAGTGGACACCCCCCAGGGGTAATAAGGGACACCCCTAAAATTGCATTTACAGTAGAACCTTGGTTAGCAAAATAGAGTTTTATTTCAAGTGTCCCTTTTTACCCCATTTCCAAATTAATTCAGGAGCCTTTTATATTGCATCTAGCACCTTACAAATAGCATATGAAATTTTTTTGGAGGTGCCCTACGATAGCCCTTGCAAAGACCTTTAAAATGAGCTCAAACTTGTTTGAGAAATGTTTCATGGTAAGAAGTTATTAACAGAAAACGCTCAAAACCGTCCCTTTTTACCCCGTTTGACGTTATAGAGGATTATGCAGGTTTGACTGAAGACCAGAGCACACATTTTATTAACAATTTTCTTCTTATTATTATTTTTTCAATAAACCAAATGAAATTTCTAGCTGGTGCTTGAGATCAAAAAGCATGTTACCAAATGACATTTTACTGGAATATGACATTTCAAATATTCAATATTCATTATCAAGTAGGTGGAGAGTTATTATGATATGGTACTTAAAATTGGAATTTGGAAATGACATAACAAGTACATACAACAAGTAGGTACCTACTACCTTAGATATGGTTCAAAATAAAAAAATTAATTAATCCAAGAATAATTTCAACATCCTGACAAATCCCAAGGTTTGCAAATTGATAGCAGGGGCCTCGTCCTTGATGATGAGAGCCTCTGCTATTGACAGTCTTGCAGTGTTGAGAAACTCATGATGACACTGGTGCAGGCCTCCAACATTGAACATGGCATGGGTGATCATCATATTGTGAGGCCACCTGCATATGATTCTTTGGTCCTCCAGCTTGCAGATGGCATGCGAGTCTGTGGCTCAATGTTGTGCTGGTCCAATCAATGTATCTAACATTTTGGAGAAGTCTACACCCTTCATTCAAGCAGGAGAATTTGTAAATAACATTGGTTGCCTGACCATTGACATTCCCGGTCACTGCCATCAGAACCTGGAACAGTCTGCCCACTTCTGTAACTTTAGCTCCTTTGATCAGTTTGTTGCAGGTGTTTTGTTGATGCCTAAAGACAGAACAATTTTGTAGAACCTATAAATCTAGAGCTCAAGCAGCATTGTCATTTTATCTGTTCCCATCTTTTCTTGTGTGTATTTATTTTTTGCTTGCTATTAATCTTGTGTGTGATGTGCCCTCCAAGTTTGTTTGATCCAGATGCCACTAGGGTAAACGCGGTATATTCCGTCACATTAGGGACGCATCGAGAAATGAAAAACTATAAAAAAATAACCGTATGCGTTACTCAAGTTCTGTTTGCTTTATGTGACTCTCAAAACACCGCACTACACGCCAGCAATAACAAAACGTCACAAAATGTTGCCATATTTATTTAAAAGCCTTTAGAATGCAAACCTACCAAATCCCTATATTCCATCATTGTGTGTGGCTATATTCGGCACGTGGTGAGGCGTATTCCATCTGCGCTTCAAATTCTACTGATACCTAATGCCAACATCCACATGTTCAAATTCCGTTCGCTGTGTGAGCTGTATTGGAATACAACACGGCTTTGAATTAGAACACTAATGAATATTGAACACAACTTAATTACGCTTTTATTTAACAACTATTAAGCTTTTAATTAAGCAAATTTTAATTTTTGTACACAGCTTGGAACGATCTGTGTGTGTCCAATTAAAGTTGTGATGGAATTAGTTTTCATGTGTCTTAATCCATTTCTCAACTTAATCATCTATTAATTTATTTACCACTTGAAATCAGCGAGTACAAGTATACTTAAAGGATTCCTAATATATTCACAGACTTCCTATGCAAACTAATATATTCTTCCTATGCAAACAGTTATTCACTATTTGGTAGAGCAAGGTCAACTGTCAAATTTGACACATTTTTCGATGATCTCACTGGGTAGCGTGCATTGTCTCTCTTTAGATCTCAATATTTTCCTGCTAGATGGCCAAGACCTAGTGTTTTGGCAGTAGCAGTAGTTAGACACGCAAATGTATGACGTCACCATTTCAACCATCAACAAACGCAAGGAACTAAAACAAAGCTTAATATAAAGGAAAAACTAGAGAGGTGACGGAATTACCCACAATGTTGTTATGTCGGAATATACCACGTTTACCCTATAAAAGCTTTGTAGAATAATACTATTAATATTAAAAGTCCTTACAAAATTGCATCTGGTTGTATACCTTAAAATTAGCTTGTACTTTAAAACCTAATGCAAAAACAAGTGAACTACATTACCTGTGTTATCTTGGCAAGTTGGTAGTCAAGGCTTACTGGCTTAGGCTGTGAGATTTTGGTTACTGTTTTAAGGAAGTTATAAGAAATGAATAACATTTTCTTGAGACATTGAGAGCATGAGGCAAGTAGGATTAGGCAGCAAAGCATTAAGCAACAAGCAGAAAATATATAAGCATTAAATTGTAGTTCAAAATTCAAGACCTTCAAAGTTGAAATATTTGCATTTTTTTCACACATTTTTTGGGAAATGTTGGCTAGTTTTTTTAGCTTTAGTTGTAGCATTCATATTGCTGGTATAATGGCATTTTCTAGAAAATGTCAAAGTGAGAAACAAGACTCATTAGCTAGGTAGGGTAAACGCGGTATATTCCGAGTTTCCGACATCGTAGGTAATTCCGTCACCTCTCCAGCTTTTCCTTTATATTAAGGGGACTGGCTACCCTCTAACTTCTACATTTATCATCCAATCTTGCTGAAATTTCGTATTCATACGTAAAATGTAAAATAGAAAACAATTTGCTTGTATACATTTTTCGAAAAAATTGATAGAAAACGTGAAATTCATAGAAAACGGCTAAAAAGGAGGTACTTTAGAAAATCTATCTCCTCCTACAAATATCATCCTACAACATCGAGACACGTATCATTCGGTTCGTAAGGACCATACCTAAAAATTTGATGATCACTTTTCTCATTTTCCCCTTAGTTTTGTTTTTATGTGCGCTTTATCCCATTTTTCTCATTTTTCCCCCCTCCCCCCCTTCTCCCCCATATAAAAAACGAACCAGATAGAAATTCAAAAAAATTATCATCAAATTTTTAGGTAATTTCATTACGAATCGAATGGTGTACGTATGTCTCATTGCTGTAGTTTGAAAACTGTAGGAGGAGACAATAAGTTGAACTTTTCAAACCTTTCAGGACGGCGTGACAAAGTCCCGTGCGCCTACGAAATAGGCACTCAATGTAGCATGGATACCAAACTACAGGCTTCTGTAGCTTAATCCACTCAAGGATGCTAGCAGCAACTTGTAGCGCACCTCTACGTAGAATGTTAGGAGGGTAACTGAGCTCAGATGCCAGATACACAAAGATATGTAGTCTTGCCGCTGTAATTTTCTTAGGTCTATTTAGTGAAGGAACTCCACCCCCCGCCCCCCATTACAGCCCGGCCATCTGCGTCAATATTGCCGTACATGGATCGCAGTAGTATCCTTGGAAAGCTCAGAATGTCAGCATTAAGATGAGACCAAGCATGTAACTGCAGCACAACTCAAGTAGAAACTATATTCAAAGATTTCAGCAGGTAATTACTTTATATCTAATTTCTTAAAGAACTCTCCCACCCGCTTCCCTTTAAAGAGACGTCATGAACGTAAATATTGGCGTACAGCGATGGCAGTGGTACCATTGGAAAGAGCAGAATTCCAGCTTTCAGACGAGTACAAAAACCGAAAAACGCCAAAATTGAAAATTTTAGGGTAGCCGGTCCCCTTAAGCTTTGTTTTAGTTCCATGTGTTCATTGATGGTTGAAATGGTGACGTCATACATTTGCGTGTCGAAATACTGCAAAAACACTAGGTCTTGGCCATCTAGTGGGAAAATATTGAGATCCAAAGAGAGACAATGCATGCCACGTGGTGAGATCATCGAAAAATGTGTCAAATTTGACAGTTGATCTGGATACTAGCATCATCATACTTAAGAAATTGGTTTAAATCTTGGGTAAATGAGGAAATTGAAAATGAACTGATTCTAAAAAAGCTGTGGTTTGTCACTATGGCTGACGCGTAGTGAAGTGTTTTGAGGTCATGTGAAGGCAACAGAACTTACGTAACGCATAAGGTTTTTTTTTATAGTTTTTCATTTCTCGATGCGTGCTTAATGTGTCGGAATATACCACGTTTACCCTACTACCGTACTCTCTCATCACACAAAATTTTTGCTAAATTCATGCTTCATGCTAAAATCTAATTTCAAAACCATGAGTTTGAGTGATGTGTCTATAACTGTCTATTCTTTGTTTTGTTTTGTTAGACTATTCATTGCGTAGGTATACAAATAACTATACATTATTTGGCCAAATAATGAAGGTGGACGGTATTATTGCAGATTAACTACATCCAAAAAAAAGGGTGTTTTTTTTTTTGAATTATATGTTTTTTGGGGTGTAGATTACGAATCTGAAATCCATTTTTGGCGGTCGGCATCGGAAAACCGATTTTTTTCGCGACTTACTAACATGGGGGTTACGTAACTTACATTACCCACTCACCCTAATTTAATAACATGGGGGTTACGTAACTTACGTTACCCACTCACCTTTATATAAAGGGTCGGATTGTTCATCAAAATTTTACAAAAAGCTCTTAGGTTGGGTTAAGTCAGCCAAGTTCCTTTTTTTAGATAGCATTTTGATCTAAAAGGAACCTGGGCGAACCAACCCAACCTGCGAGTTGGCGTTAGGTTGTGATCTCTCGATGTGGCAATGTATCTCCAGATTTATGGGTGGTGGTGCGGAATAGCAGCCTCCTGGGTGGTGCGGAATAGCAGCCTATATCGTAACCTAACCTAACCTAACCTAACCTAGCGCGATTTTAGGGTTTTACATAGGTTTACAGTCATTCCCAGATCGATTTAGTTCAAAAATGTTTTCTGATTTTTCGCCGATTTCGCAGATTTTAGGCATTTTTAGCGCGATTTTTGGGTCGGAAAAAAATCGGTTTTCCGATGCCGACCGCCAAAAATGGATTTCAGATTCGTAATCTACACCCCAAAAAACATATAATTAAAAAAAAAACACCCTTTTTTTTGGATGTAGTTAATCTGCAATAATACCAGGTGGACTGGTAGAGTCTGGAGACCATAGCATCCATAAGCATAATGCAAATGAAAGAGGATGAAACAGCAGATGAATCAGTGAATTTATTCTTGCTTTTATCAACTAATGAATTATTCTGCAATCTGGATTCTGAACATAAGGGAACTTAGCAATAAGGATTCATTGATAGCTTATTCATTGGCTTTATTTGCGCTATAATGCTAACACAATCCCATCGACCCATCGGGTCACATAGAAATGATAGAATAGGTAGATCTCAATCTCATGATTTCAGCCTCCCAGTTATCGACAATATCGAGGTAGCCCATGCCCTAAACCTATCAAGTATCAACTAGAAATCAATTTGTTTGAATTCTTACCTTATTAAAATTATAAATCAAATTTGACCGCATAGAACATCAAGACACAATCATCGATGATAATAATTATAGATTATCATATAGGTGTTTTTTTTGTTTGTTTGATGCTTATTGGAGCTTTGGAGACGCATCCATGTAGCTCCACGTCTGCAGGGGGATTTGGCTGTTCCAGAAGTCTCAGTATCCCACGTTTGCACAGGAATTTAGTCCGTGCAGAAGTCCCAGCAACTGTGTGCACATGAAAAATATCATTAGTATACAGGATCATAAACATTGTATCAATTGATCAACTAGAGCTCACATAATTGGGGTGTAAATTTCAGTATCATGTTCAGGGAAATAATTTGCTGAAGGCAGATCAGGGTACAAATGTGTTTCAAAATAAAGTGACATTTATTTGTTAAGAATTGCTAGCAATTTGCTCTTCTAAAACAAAGGACTACATTATTAGCACTAAGCTAAATTGCCCAAGTTAGTAGCTAGAGGATGCCCTACCTTGTGCCACATACGAGAACCCAGANTCTCAGTCGTGGAAAGAAGCTGAGGTATATTGGATGGGCTGTGTTTTCCCATCTTGATGATCAGGAGGCCTCTGTTAATATTCTTTTGAATTCCCTTGATACCAGCTGTACCAAAACTTGAGGTGGCTAAAGCTTTGCTAAGAGCTATATCATTAGCAAAGAACTTCGATACAGGTCGCTCATCTGGAAGAGGCTCCACTACAATGACCAGAGGATTTGCATTGGCATCTGCAGATGGAGAGTCCCCCTCCCCCAGCTCAGGCAAGTCTGGGTAACAAGGGGAGGAGTGTACCCTCTGGCCAGCTGTGAGGACTGAGTCAGCATCACTCTCATTGTTGGAACCTAATGAGGGCAAGAACCCTTCAAAGTTTGCATCTTCATCATGGTGCATATTCAACTGCGCCTCTTGATCTTGAACAGTTGTTCTCACTATTGTCTCAGAACCTAGCCACAAATCAGAGCCTTCACAATCCACAGTGTTAAGGTTGTTACATGTCCCACTCGGGAACTGGGTCTGTGAGTCAGAATGGATGCTCTGGTTTGCTGCATGTTTTATCGCTAAGCCTGACGGGCCAGACACGAGTATTGACTGACTCTGAGACATGTCTGAGTCTACATCGTCATCAGTCGATCCAGATGAATGGCTATTACTTTTTTTTTCTACGTTTCCCCTTCCCCATCTTCCTATTCCCAAGTTAAGTGAAAGTAACCTACAAAGTACAAACTATCGAATCAGATACAAGATTGATTAGTTTAAAGAGAGCTACTCACGTACGTCCGTCTTCGACGAAGTCCGTTTTCCAGTCATCATATAGGTGGCTCAAATGTCCGAACATCTGGCTGCCGCGTAATTTTTGAAAACGAAAACGCCGGACAAACTACTGCACTTGGGAAAAAAACATTGTTCGTGTTTTGGAAATAATTGGGATTTAATCACAACATAATGTAGCTGAGGCCTGAGATCACGATTACACATTACCGCTAAGGCATCAATATGCAGTTTGCAAAATTATTACAGACTACAAATATTCAGAGACTGGTCTTTAGCCGCAGAAAATTTTGTATAACAGATGATTGAGAGTAGATTTTCATAGGACTCGATGTTTAGGGGTGGAGAATATAATGATATATTCAACGTTTTGAAATTCAGTTTCACAGTAGTGAGGAAAAGTTGTGGATTAGCAAAAAACGATATGTGTAAAATTATAGATTTCTAACTAGGTTTATTCTACGTCTCGGACAAATTTACGGCCGGTCTCGCGGCCGCCGTACTAAAAACATAGAAAAAACCTAGCCAATCAACGAAAACCTCGCAGGTTAGGTCCGGTTAGGAACAGGTTCAATTAAAAACACAAAAAAACTAGAAAAACTCATAAAAACACTAAGAAAACCTTTTGGCCGCGAGACTGGCCGCGGGTCCGGCTGTAAATTTGTCCGAGACCTGTTTATTTATTCTTTCGTGATCCGAGCCTCCGAGGGCAGTTCCAAATTTTCATAATCATATATAAGCGAAAATAGAATATATATGAAAATTAAAAAAAAATACAGAGTAGCCTATCTACAGTTCAAATAGATGAAAATCTCATTACTCATTTAACGTCTTCAGAATATATGTTCCAAATTTCTGTAACTACCTTATCATCTTCATTATTAGAGAATCATAAGAAAATGTGATGGCAAGTAATATATAAAAATATGTTTGAATTTCTAGCCCAAAATAAAAATTTACCTAGGTTACTCCATGATCGCAATAGGTAAAATTCCAGGACTTTTCCAGGACTCTCCATGATCATCAGTATAATTTTCCAGAAGTCGTATACGGCAGGTTTAGCATGACTGAAAGAGTAATCGTGCATATTCTATCATCTCCTAAAGTTGATAACTATGTAGCAAACGTGTAAATGCATAGAGCGGGCAGACACAGAGGATCAAAAATGACACAAATCTGGAAATCAAGCCCACACTTTTATTATTATGAATTCAATAGTGTCAAATCACAACAAAAATTGAGTAATACACTCAATATTGCACATGATAATGTCAATACAGTTCAGAACACTATTCAACACCAGTTCACCACTACCCTAACATTCACCTGGCAGCTATTTCATCAACTTTTTCTTTAATGTTCAGTTCAAGAGTGTCTAGCTCCTGTTGCTTTGTTTTCAAAGATCGCCTCGTTGTGTTAAACTTTGCGATGATTTTCAAATCCCCCTTTCTCCCTATTGCTTCTGCATATTCATCTGCTGCTTGCTCAAGCGCCTTGATGCCCTCATCCATACGCCTTTTCTTCTTCTTCAGTTCATCTAGCAGTTCTAGCTCATCCAACAGAGCCTTCCTCTTCCGGGTTTTCGGGGCCTTCGCATTCTGCTCTTTCTCTTCCGCCAAATAATTATTGTAGGCTGTTTTGTCACTACCAGCTGCAAGCAGCATCTGCTTGGTGATGGTCATTTTGTCCAGGCCACCAACATGTGCAAAATGATCAACCACAGCACGCAGGGCAACCATCGTTTGTTCTTTCATGTTCTGAGTCATGATTTCCTTGTTGAACGAAAACCGTCTGTCAACCGTGCCTTGGCCATGAGACAGGAGCATGAGCATCTGCACTACATTCCAGAGCTTCTTGTAGGCGCTCTTTGACAGCATGGCATGCCAAAAAGTGTCCAGTCGATCAGAAGTTGAAAATGCTTGAAACTGTGCGTTCAGTTCACCGCAATGTTGCGATTCATCTCTAAAGTTGCACATCTCATCCCCAACACCATCCACATCTGTGTTAGGGAATCTCTTGGCATAACAAGCAAATTGAGACAGTTCTTCAACTGTGTCTTGTTGGCTTCCTTACAGTCCTTCTTCCCGCTCCGCTAAACGAGCTTCGCGCTCCGCTAATGTGTTTCATTTCATGCAGTTCTTTCAATGGCGGGCAACGAAGTCACAGACAATGAGATAAAAAACTATAAGAACAAAGAAACTTTGATAGAAACTAGCGATGAGGATGCATGTGCACCAGTGCTGAAGCTGCACTGCACCAGCGATATCTCAGGCACGCGCACACGTGAATGACTTATAGTCTCCTCCCTATGGGTAACAACGTAACATAGACACAAGTTCGAGCGGTCGTAGTTGTCGTACACGGAGATGGCTCTGCTTGAGGCCAGAAATTAGGTCCTTTCATTCTCATAATTTTCAAAAATGGATTCTAGTTCACAGCTGTGCGTTTGAAGACTGCATTTGATAGGAAACAATCTATATTAATGCCTGGTAAAATAATCGTAGCGTATGTAAAATAGATGACACCTAAATAATACTTAACAAAATTAAGGGCAGATATCATTTGCACCCGATGTTGTGGCGTGACACGACAACCTGTGGCGATTAGGGTTAATACACGCAGCACAGAAAAATACTTAATTTTTATTTATTTGTTTGCAAATTCCAGTATTTTCCATAATCTGAAATGAAATTCCAGTACTTTCCAGGCCTGGAAAATGAAAAATCAAATTTCAGGACTTGCCAGATTTTCCGGGATCGGTACGCACCCTGAATAATAATAATAATGATATTAATAATAACATTAGCGGTTTCAGCGTTTAGTAGGCCGCAGGCCTGTAGCCGATCCTTAACATCACAGAACATTCACATCATTTTGCGGTGTTGGGGACTAGTCAATAAATAAATAAGCATTCTCTGACCCCGAACACTTGGCCAATGATCGACAATAAAGGATGAATGAAAACTGATAAGTTAAGAACTATAATAACAAAAGAACGATAAATACTAGAAAACCAATTACAAAAATATAAACCGCGTGTCTTTCTAGCCCTTGCCTATTAATTCCTAATCGTGTCCTAGGTTCGGAGCCTCGCTCTGTGGTGGATCACATAACAATGACGAGGTACATAGCGGGTCTACACGAGGTGACTTCATAGTTCACTCAAAAACAAAATGACAATCCTAACTATCGATGAAATTATTATATTTAAAAGCGTTCCCTAACAGCGGTCTCGAACTCGCAACTCACTGCTACAATTCTGCTGTGAACTGTAACCACTGGAAAATGGTGCGTGGCATATTTTCTTATATGCAGAGCTGGGCAGCGCTACTTGGAAATGTAGCGGGCGCTACCGCTACCGCTACATGCTCTAAATGTAGCGGGCGCTACCGCTACCGCTACACCCACTAGATTGTAACGGGCGCTACCGCTACCGCTACAGTAAAATGTAGAGAGNAGGGGTAGCCGGTCCCCTTAAGTAAAATCTAAATGCTTTATCTATAAATGTAGCGGTAGCGCTGTAGCGGCAAAACCTCGTATCGCTACTTAAATATGTAGCGGGCGCTACCGCTACCGCTACATTGCCTTAATTGTAGAGCCGCTACCGCTACCGCTACTGAAAATGTAGCGGCCGCTACATGTAGCGCGCTACTGCCCACCTCTGCTTATATGATCTATTTTTTGTGGTTATGAGTGGTTACTGGTTCGCTGTAGCAAATGAAAATATCGTCATAGACTGAACTTTTCGCTCTTTATCTCTAGTCTTTTTGTAATTTATGTCTAATTCAGTAATTTACTTGAATAATTTTTACGCCTGCTCATTACTAGATGACAACTGTTATTTTTCGAGCGGAAACGATATTTTTTCAGAGACAAACAGGGAAAGAGAGTCTTGATGCCTGATTCATGAAAAATTACTTGTTACAATTATAGGTTTATTATTCATTTTTAGAATGACCCTCTGACCTTGAAGATGACTATATTAGATCTCTAAAAAATTAAAAAAATTGAAAAACAGATGGTATAAAATAATAATGGATTATGCCTGCTGCGACCCTCAACTAACCAAAATTATTTTGGATTAAATTTTCAAAAATATGTTTCTAGATATAAACGCTTTACCCATGATTATATGCTTATGCTTCTCTAATAATGAAGATGGTAAGGTAGAGCTTTGAAATTGGGAACATATA